TAATATATATTAGTGCTATTAGTGGTACTACATAAAATATGTGGAGGTGAACTACAGATCTGTCTGGTAGAAGGGGTGACAGTGGCAATAAGACACAAAGGGCTTTGAGGGTGGGGGGAGGGGGGTGTCACCTCCTGTGCACATGATCGCTGGCTACGCCCGTGAGACTCGGCATATCATAAAAGATGTGAGAGGGAATGATGAGGGGAGCACAAAGACAGAAGGGAAGAGAAAGGACAGGGAAGGAGGAGATCTGCCTAAACTCCGCCTCCGGTCTCGGATCCTCTCGCATTCCTTCTTCACAGCCCCTCACGCTGGAGATAGAGAAAGAAAGGGAAGGAGAAACAAGAAGGCCACGAAGAAAAGAGGGGGAGCAGTGAAACGACCATGGCAATATCCAAAACGTCTCAGCGTGAGATAGAGTCCGATCCCAGCGCACTTCCACCACCGTCGACCCCGGCTCGGAGCATGCAGTCGCACAATAGACAGAGTCCTGATGAATGAGGAGCTTTACCTGGGCCGTGGACAAAATGAGGGTCATCTTCATCCAAAACGCCGGTTTCGTCGCAGCTTTCTCGCCTTTCTCGTGATGTTGGCAGTGTTTGGGACGACAGATGATGTGAACGAGCCAGAGCTAACCACAGCCAGATCATGCGAGTAAATTGAGGAGTAAGGGGATCGTAGCAATTTATTTAGGCTGTTTTATTTTTATTTTATTTTATTTTAATGGGATAGAGAGCTTGCACATATTTATAGCCAGTATAGCATCTCTGAATCGAAAGTGTGCTCAGCTTCCGGCATGCAGCCTGCTGTCGAAATCTGAATAATAGACTATATTTTTTAACTATATTGGCCCTAGAATGAATTTTTAACCAATGATAGAGTATGTACCAGGTTATTAAGGTCCGATCCTTTTAGACTTCCGCACTCATGTAGTAATCCTTTAGTATATAGCAATTATTAATATGAATAGGTAGAAGGAGAGATCTCTGGCCACTATGATCAAAGCCTATTGATCAACTGAGACAATCTGGAAATGTCAGTTTCCACGTGTGATAACATGACTGGCGTCGTTCCTTGTAATTTATTTATTTATTATTACTATTATTAGGCCTATAAGTATTATATTATCGATTTATTTTTTAGGTAGGTAGTGATATATTTAACAGTGGGAAGGCTGTTTTAAACCCTTCCCTATAGTGAGATGGAAACCGCTTATTTATCGTCGCACCGGGGGGGCACCCGTCCCGACGCCCAGACGGGCCAAAGCTCGGCGGGTGAGCCCTCCGCTGCACCACCACCTTCAACTCCACCTGCCGGCAGCTCACCTGAGGAGACCCCGACGAGTGGTGATGGACGGAGAAACTCGGGCGTGAAGAAACACCATCACAAGCACAACCTGAAGCATCGCTACGAGCTGCTGGAGACGCTCGGAAGAGGCACCTATGGCAAAGTCAAGAAGGCCATTGAGCGGCACTCCGGCAGAGAGGTGAGCCATTTACACAAGCAGCTGCAAACATCTGTCACGATGCTTTTAGTAAACCCAGACGCTTGTAATTCACAATACTTGTGTAACGCCCTTTAACAGCCACTACAAACAGCACTGGTCCCAAAATAAGTGGTTTTTTGCTCCCAGAGGCGTGTGCGCGACCTACCCCCGCTGGGAATTCCCCCACCATGCTCCAAAAAGGCCAGTGGGGCCAGGGAGTTACGCGGCACACATGCAGGGCCTCACGACCGGATGCCGGAGTGCAATTCCGGCTACCGACAGACTTATGGGGACTTGTGTGACCCCCACAAGCTTCACAAAAGTTCCCCAGAAGTGTCCTGCTTCCACGCTCATTCATAATTTGTAAAGTTTTTAAGACATGCATTGCAAAGTTCAGATCAACCCCAAATTCACTCTTTTGCGAATGACCAGCATTTGACATAGTCTCAGTCTTTAAAGTAGTAGGTTACTTGTACTGTTTCATCACTCTGCACAGTGCCTTACAGTTTTCCCTTCCCGTTTTGTTTCTATTTTTAAAGTGCCAGGTTTTTTTTTCCCTGCATGACTCAGTCTGGCACTTTGCATTTCTTTTTTTTTAAAGTGATGAACTGTATATTTGTCGCAGTAAACCCACCATCTGCTGTGATGTCCTTGCAGACCGGCAGATCTCTACCAACTATTTCCACATGTGGCAAAATATGACCCCAGTGCCCATTCTGGCAGGGCATGCGGAAATTTCCACTGAAACTTAGTACAGGCCAACAATGTCCCCCAGTGGTTTCATAGCTCCTGGCAAATGCATGTTTAATAGGGAAAGGGGGGCAGCAAACCCCCTGGTACGACATTCCTGTTTGACCTGTCCCACTTGCCAGCTTCTCCTTTCTTCCGTTTGTTTTTCGGCATTATTGCCATGGTAGCAAGTGTAATATAAATTAATGTAATTTCACTGGCATCATACAACTGTGCAACTGTACTAACTGGACAGGTCAAAGTGCATTGCATGATTGTTGGCTTTGGATATCTTGGAAGTCTTTTGTTAAATAATTGACAATGTTTGTCATATAGTTGGCAAGTTTATTATATTTTTGTTACTAAGCCATAAAGCACTACTTGCCAGTCACTAAATATATAAATAAACCCAATATACTTATGTGTAAGTCAAAAAACTATAGCCCAGTGGCTCCAGTTCTCCTACTGTCTACAGTACTGAGCTGAGCTTAGCATTAAAACTTAAAATAGAGAAGTATTAATATGGGACCCAAGTCTGTGCACATAGAGTACTCGCCATCTCGCAGCTTATGGATATGGCACTTACCCTGCTAGAGTTTACTTGACCTCTGATCCAGAGGGAGTCCCTTGTGTCCATTTGGCATGTAAACCAGTGTGGTGAGAATGTTATTTAATCATCTCAACTCCCCTGAACCTTTTCCTGGCTTGTTCCACAGACACAGTGAGAAGAACAAAGTGGAGAGATAAACTGATGAAGCTCTGTGTGTGTGCATGCACACACATATGAATAACGAAGGACAGATTAGATGCAAGCATATTCAGCATGTCAGTGAAAGTAGAGCTGGTTTCACCTGGAAGCCCATTTGTTGTACAATTTGCACACTCAGTAAAAAACACAAACACCTAACATTAAGTGAAGTGCAGCAGATCACAGCGAACATGGTGTGGCTTTGTGGGATGTGCACAACCCGTGTTTCTGTGCATGTGTGTGAAAGGTAAAAGGAGACCTGTGGCTACGTTTCAAATAGCTGCATTAAGTATTACATGCCATCTAGAGAGGACTATAGTGAAAAGGTTATGGTGACAGTCAGGCCTATAATGGACACTGACACATGAAAGGCCATCCACAGCAGGAAATTAGATTTAGAAGGTAATGTTAATATCCTGTATGGAGGATCCATCACAGACGGGCTGGGGAGTTAGCACAGAGATACAGGGAAGCTCACCACCATAACAAGAGAGAAACCGCCTCAGTTAAAAGGGGTAAAGAGTCATATTAATATGTGCTTAAAGCACCAGATTACATCATTCCCCAACAATGGACTCAATAGGGAGGTACGCAAGAGGGAAAAACATTGGCATTCCTCTGTTATATTCTATGTTGTACAGCTGATGAGGCATTATGATTCCTGGCTCTGTTTGAGAATACACTTCTCTGGAAAAGTGACGGGCCTCTTTCTCCCACTCACTCTCCCTCTCTCTGCCTCCCCCTAAGTCTGACTCAGACGCACAGTCAATACGACAGATGATCATGATCTTTAGACAATGCAGGGACGAGTGAGTTTGTGATGAATACTTCATCTATTTTAATGGCCTGAGAAAGCCCAGAACGATGTCAGGCTCCGCTGAAGCGAAACATGGACTTTCACTTCAAACGAGCTCTTTTGAGAACAAAGTCTGGACGACGGGAGGGGCAGACGAGGCCGCCCCATACCTGGCAGGGACCGACGTGGGCAGCAGTGCAGCGCCCATTTACTGTGAGTGACAGTAATAGGGGGGTCCACTTAAGAACAAGCGTAGCTGCGTCAGCCAGCTCCGCCAGCTGGCAAGTAGCTGATCTGCGGTCTTGTTTAATGATCCGCATCAAGGTCAGGGCAAAGCAACATGAGGAGATACACAAAAGATGTCTGGCTTTCTAGTCCAATATTGGGGAACTGTCTCATTCACTGATTTATCATGCAGTGTAGAATTAACTTCTCTACACATTTTACTTGTCTTTGTGTGTAACTTTTGTAGGCAATTTCTTAGTTCATTCCCTAATTTTAAAGAAATCAGGTATTTTTTGCATGCATGCATCCATCCATCCCACAACAACTGAAAAAGGTAAGCTGCATTCAGCTTTGCAAATTCAAGTGTCAGTCACGTTTTGGGGATCAGTGATAAAATCCTGATGATTTTGATGAGGTAAAGGAAAACATCAGTGTTAAGACACAAACAACTTTTCCCAATTATGAACACAGCATGGGAACCCCCTGGACCCTGGCTTGTTTATTATGGTATCATTTCTTTAAATTCTATGTAATCAAGGCATGCTCTGGAAGGCAGCTATTCCGGTTTGGGGTTATTTTTATTGATGTACACGGTAATTAGCTTGGCACTCGCTACTGCCTGTGGTTTTTCGCTGAATGGAATAAAGCTGGGCTCCACAGAATACTGCAGTTTAGTCAGGAGGACAAAAGTTTAAACTAACATAATTCAGAGTGAAAAGATTCTTTACAGGCTTGATCAAAGAACAACTCAGGGCTCAATCCAGATTGTTTAGGCTACAAGAATGATGTGCTAGACCGTGGGCTCTCCACTGGTTTATTTGGAGAAGGATGCTAACCTCTCATTTATGGAGTACATAGGTTAGTGGTTTGAATGCATCCTGTTGCGGCTGACTCTTAACTGAATTGGCTTTGCCATGACACTGAAGAATCATCAAATCAAGTGTCATTGTTGACTGTTAAGCTCCTTTTAACGGGCCCATTTGGCACGGCAAGGAGTGAATCACTTCCTCAACCCCTGCTCGTTCTCCTGATGCCTCCATAAAACTCTCAGCAGGCCATCTTTTCAGGCTTTTTCGAATACGGGCCATTAGCTGTGTTTAATCAGAATAACTAAACATACAAGGCGGGGGTAGTGGTTAGGGTCTTCTCGGGGACTTTTGACAAGGGAGGAAATTTGCTTTGTAAGTTAATACTGACTGATTGATGGAGGATCACTCTAACCTTCAGCTCTCTCTTTCCTCTTCTTAAAATCGGTGAACACTTAACACCTTTCTCACTGCTTTTTAGGGATACATGGTGCAGACTCTATAGGCTTTTCTACCCCGCGCCTGCTGCACGTGGTTGGGATTTCGAAAGAAATTTCTCCACCGTTGTTGGAGTGGCAGTTAGTGCAGACATCCATGCACCAATTTGGATGAACGGCAGTACTTTAGAGGCTATTTGCCTAACCATTACCTTATTGCTAAATTCCTGCAAACCTAATGGCATTTCCATCAGCCTAAGCTGCACTGTGTGTTGTGCTAATGCACAGATGTTAGCTTGCTAACACAGCAAAGCAGAATAGTGACCATGACTGCTTAAATTAAACCTTATAATTATAACAGCATAGTTTTATTAGCATGAAGACTTTAGCATTTCACACAAAGCGCTACTGTGTGCTAGTATGGCTGCAGAGTCCCAGACTGGCTCCGAAAATGCTCCCTGTTTCCAAGATAGCGCGCCGTATTGAGTGAACTATTGAGTGACCATTATATACTGACGAGGGAATGACTGAGTCAGGGGAGTGATTTTGGACACAGGCGATTAGTTAACAACAGCTGCTCCCAGAGAAGTCTTTACTATGGAAACTGCCATGTTGCACCGTGTGAATCTGTCCTCTGATGCTTCTGTAATCATGATGATTGAATATCAAAACAGGCCACAATGTTGGTACTTGTGTTTCAGTTTGCAATAGTTTGACCTCAGCAAAGCTTCGTAAGGTCAAAGGTTATTAAAAGTCTCTGTAGGTGGACAGGGGAGGTTTGTTTTTCTTTGATAATGAAATCAAGCATTGTGTGCAGACTGACATCTCATGACGTGCACCATGTACCGTGGATGAGCTGTACAATTTAAAGTTCACTGATAACAAATCGCATGTGACAGATAAATTGGTTGCACCTTAATCTCATTTCAGTGACTTTCTGCAGTCACGTCTCTTCCCAGATTAAATCAGCCTATTTTTCAAATCAATTTTCTTGGAAAAAAAGACAAATCTGCTTTTACTTTAAACTGTTAAATGTGACACATTCAGGATACTGTATATCTAGGCAGGGTTTTTTTTTGTTTGCTTGTTTGTTTTTTTGCTTTTTTTCCTTTGCTGCTGAAGTCACATGAGTGAAAAGTGTTTGTCCTCTCTTTCCAGGTGGCTATCAAGTCCATTCGGAAGGAGAAGATTAAGGATGAGCAGGACATGGTACACATTCGTCGAGAGATTGAGATCATGTCGTCCCTCCGCCACCCCCACATCATCTCTATATATGAAGGTGAGGGTCTTTGAATGTCTACCTGTGACAAGTCATGGACACTTATTTAATTTGAACATGCAAACAAAATCACACATGTCCAGAATTCTTCCCTCCATCAGCTCATTTAGCACTCGTGGCCGAGCTGTAGGACTGTCATGTTATGACATGCAGATGTCATAATAAGTCCTGGACTACAGCTCTGGGATGTTATTAATCTTCTTCCCGTCTGGCTGCCTGGTCTAGTAAAAGTCTGGATGACTTTGACAATTTGCATCTGGATTCCTCTCTTTGTGTGTGTGTGTGTGTGTGTGTGTGTGTGTGTGCGTGTGCGTGTGTGTATTGCATTCACATTTGTGAAAGTTTGTGTTTATAAGAGGGGTGATATTCTAAGGGATTGCCTCTCCCACATCTAAGAGGTCACATCCCCTTGTCTTCTCTGGTCTTGATCTCAGGGCCAGACATCTGCTGATACTTAGAGACAACAGCAGCTGGGAACCAGACTATACTCGTGCATGTGTGTGTGTCTGCACATATGTGTCTGTATAAATCCCAGTATATTTATCTCAGTGTATGAACCTTTGTGTGTGTAGCTCAGGAGACTCTGGATTGGCCTCAGTCACCCGGGCTTGCTCCCCGTCTGACTCCAATCCAGTGCTATGCAGCAGGAGGAAAGACCATAAGCCTTCCCTTGGAGCAATATCAACATATGTCTACCCCAGGAAGCAGTTCACTAAATATCAAAGACTTCAAGCCAGACATTGACAACATATTTATTGTTTTTGGCCTCCTTTTTTTTGATGAGTCCTCATGAATGACCTTTACATCACCGGAAGAAAACATTAGATTAGAATTGATGGCGACTCTAAAGGTTGAACAGTTCCCAGTGATTTTTTCAACATAGTGCTTGCAATTAATCATCTGATAATATGTAGTATGGGCCTGTTTTCTGTCTCCTACATTCACAACGCACTGCAGTGTGTTTTTTTGTTTGTTTGTTTTTTTGTCATGTGATTTGTGACTCGTGACTATTGTGTCAACATAGCAACAGTTTCAATGCCATTTTCAGGTTAGCTGCCCTGCCATAGCGGCTGCAGGTTGTGTGGTACTTCCCTAACTGGCTTAGCCACTGTCCTTTGTTCAGTTTCAAAGTCCTTAGGTCATTATCAGCAATGTGTATATGTAACAAACTTAACTATTTGTCATGGGAACGTGCCAGTAGTCGGTCAGAGGGCTGAATTACAGCTGAATTTTATGTGTTTTGCAAGAGAATGATTAAAGAACAGCCAGCTTTATAAACTCAGGCGAGCCTGCATGGTGTTTCTATGTGTGCTGCCTTCCTTTAAAAGCAGTCAATTCTACCAACAAACCTAACCAGACTCATTGCTCTCGCTCTTTGGTGTTTCTCCTCAAACCCAGCGTTTACTGTTGTGGCCTGGCCTCCGCCCAGCCTTGCTTTAGAGATGTATAGGAGGCCTAAAGATTTGTGTATCCGGCAACACCCTCTTCAACAGCCCCTGCTAACTGCCTTGTGTGAAGCAAAGCTGAACCAGATGTGTGCGTGAAGATTGATTTTTACCACTCCCTCACATTCTGCATCCATCAGCATGCTGCGTGGGGACATTTAAAGTAGTTTTTTTTTTTTTTTGCTCTTTGCTCCTCAGGCGAAGCTATGCAGTGCCCTCCTTTTAAGAGAAATAGTCAACCCTACAAAATGCTCAAGCGGCATGAACTGATTCAGCCAGGGGGAAAAAAAACCCCAAACCCTTCAGCGTGAGGGGAATCTTTAGAAATTTACCTTCTTACAATAAAATAAAAAATGATCACTCTTCTTGTGTCCCCACAGAAATACAAAGCTAAAGCTAAGATCTTGCCAATTTTGTTACCTTGGCAGGAGTTCACTTTCTCAGTGCTGCTTCCAGATTTTGTGCTAAGCTAAGCTAAGTCGCTGACTATATTTGCAATGGTGTTAAATTTGTCAGCTAAATCTAGGCAAAAATCAGCTTATATCTCCAAATATCTTAAGTAAACATGATAAACAAAGGGAAAAATACCCTACAGATTAATTAAAATTTGCTTGTTTATGGCCTACTTTAGAATTATCCCTCCACTCCTCTGTGTGACTCTTTGGCCCTTGTGCAAGTTTTCAACAACAGTCTATCATCAGTGCAGACACTAGGACAATAGGCGCTAATTAGTCAGATGTGAGGGCTTGACCTGTGAACAAAGCCCAGTGAGTGACAGCGAGGCTTTAGTGGTGGCTGGCGCGCCCAGTGGGCTGTAACAAACCCGAGTTATGTAAGCCAGGTAATTACCTCACCGCAAGTGCTCAAAGGTAAATGGGAGTGCAAGCTGAGAATTGGCTCCCCCAGCCTAACCCCATCAAGGTTCGCCGTGAATGTCACCCCAGGTCACCCCTCTGTCCACCAATCAGAGAGCTGAGTCTGCTTTTGCCCTCCCGAGTGCTTGGCTTACATCCCGTCTGTTATTTCCCGAGCTGCCAGACAGTCACAATCAGGGAGCATTACCATCACTCAGCAACTGTGTGTTTTTGTAGAGGATTATATCTTTAAAAGGACCCCAGGAGAGGAGGGGTGGGGTGCTGAGGAAAGTAGTGTGACAGACTGTGAAGGTGCTCACTCAAGAGTACAGAAAGCGGAGGCCCCCACCTCAGTGACCCTGCTGTGTGGGAAAATCAACACGGACAATATGTAGCAACATGGCTGACTGTGTTTTCCTAGCCTTTTTTCCCCTCTCTCTTCTCCTCTCTCTCCCTAACCGCTGTCATACTCTTCATGCCAAGAAGCATGTTGCCAAACTGAAATTATATAGCGGATGGCTAAAAACTGACACACAATGATATGTCTGGTGAGCTGTATTTCAATGGCGATAAAAATGAAACAGCATTCCTCTAAAAATCAGCACACGTGTCACCGGGTTTATTCATTTTGCTTCGGTCGTGCTAAAGTTCAGGGTCCAAAAGAGAAAAAGCCTGCTTTGTAAGAGTAGGTACAGAAAATAGAAGAATATAGGAGTATAGCTTTGATTTCAGTTATGAGTTAAATATGAAGCAGTTTCATTACATTGCTCTTGTCAAAATAAAAGAGGATGCTTGTTGCCATGTTGAGTCATAAATCACTAATGAACAAAGCAGTACTTAGAATAGGTACTCATGAGGCCCGCGCGTGGTCGTTAGAAATATCGGACTGTGTTGTGAAAAGTGGCAACATGATACGAAGCTCAAGCTGTAGCAGAAGCTCCACCTGAGCCTGTGAAGGTAACTCTTTCTCCTCAATCTGGTTCGTGCCCTTTTCTCTTTTTTTTGTGGTCTGTTTTCACTGCTCTCCACTTGCTCTGCTCTCTGAGCAACGCCTGATTGAGTTAACAGCCCCTCCCTGCTGTAGTGTTGTGAAGGAGCCAGGCACATGAGGTGGGGTCTGGGTGATGTAACCCTGGGAGAAATGTAGAGATGTAATGTGCTGCTTTGGAATTTGGATTCCCAATTCCCTCCAAAAAAACAAAGGCCGGAGTAAACGTTTTTTTCCTGCTTTTTTTACTTAATAATGCTCATTAATATTTTTATTAAGAAGGCAAAATGAACCTGGGCAGACTTAAGAAGCTGTCCTCCCATACCTCTATGTGTTTGGAAAGTCGGTAATAATGTGTTGCTATTTTCTTATCATTTCTCAGTGTTTGAGAACAAGGACAAGATCGTGATTGTGATGGAGTATGCCAGCAAGGGCGAGCTGTATGACTACATTAGCGAGCGTCGGCGCCTGAGCGAGCGGGAGACGCGGCGCTTCTTCAGACAGATAGTCTCCGCCGTGCACCACTGTCACAAGGTGAGAAAACTCATCTGTGCCTTCAGCTTGTGCAGGCTGTGCTCTGTGTCTCTTACACACATAAAGACTTTGTTTTCAGTCCTTAATTTATCCTTCACCATTCCCCTCACACATTCAGACGCATAGCTAGTTAATCTGCCAGCCCTGCACGGTGTGCTGTTCTTGGCGCACTGGTTGTAGAGAGTCATCTGTTTCTGAGTGAAGATAGAATGCAGGCCAGTTTAATTCAGGCTTACCCTCCCATTACAGAGCAGGGCAACAAACAGGCCTTGTCTTTAAATCTGTGGTCAAATCTTGCTGCACACACAAGGACTGATGTCCTGAGCTACCCCCAGAGTCATTCTCCAGAGATTAAGTTTGGTTCACACCCACATCCACACCTCACTTACTCTGCTTAAAACCAAAAGATCCCATTGGCTCACCACTTGTCACACTTTTCCCAGCTGTAGATAGGGATGATGTCATAGTCTTCAGCTAGGGGACTCCCAGACTAATCTCTATAAATACGCCCCTTTTCTTTTTTTAAAAAAAATAATTTGCTTTCATTATCAGACTCTAAGTTATGGCCGCAGCGCTAAACAGGACGTCCTGGCCTGAATGTCAATTGTCCATTACCTGTATATCTTCCCCAAAACGCCAGCCTTTGCCCCCAGAGGCTAAGTTATCAGATGATAGACGATTGGTTCACAGATTGGTCCCAGACAGCCATGAATGATGAGTCATTACCACCAAGCGCAACCCCTTGCTGGGTGGGGTGGTGTGAGTCACTGGCACAACAAGCAACCAACCACTTCTTCCTTGTGTTCACCAATCAGAGTCATGTGAAAATGAGCACAGTGTTAGACAGTCACCGACAGGAGATGCAACGCTGAGCTGCGCAAACAGGCGGGGGGTGACGGATGAAGTCACTCCTCTGCATCTGAGCTGGGTTCTTTCTGTCTGCGTACCACATGTTAATTCCTGGATTTTTTTTCCCCAACCCGTGCATTAACAGCATAGTCGCTGTTTTATCCCATGATGCTCTGAGAACATAATTCATACTGGGAGATAATTACAGGCTCATGTTTATGTCACACATTTGAGCTGATTTAAAAGAAAGTCCCAGCAGATGTCAGCTTGAAGATCTTCGAGGGGACAGGACCAATTAAAGAGTACTAAGCCAACTGGCTGTCTTTATTTCCTCAAGCTATCTTTGTCAGAGTAAATCACACATACATACAAATGCAATGGACTGTTTATTGCTTGGAACCCTCTTTAATGAAAAATGAGCTGATGCATGCATCAATCTTTTTCTTTTTTCTCACTGCAGAATGGAGTAGTGCACAGGGATCTGAAACTGGAAAATGTGCTACTGGATGAAAACTGTAATATTAAGGTAACCTTGCCTCTTGTGATGGTCTGGGATGTGTTGGCAGCCAAAGCCTTGTCTCAAATGATCTTTGCGTGAGGGAAAATAAATAATATGACCTGAAATTCTAACTTGGCCTTGTGTTCACAGATTGCTGATTTTGGGCTGTCCAACCTCTACCATAAAGACAAGCTACTGCAAACCTTCTGCGGTAGCCCCCTATATGCTTCACCGGAGATCGTCAATGGGAGACCATACCGTGGCCCGGAGGTGAGTCTCAGTGGAAATAGAAATTTAATAATTTATTGCCCTCCCTGAAAATTCATTTTGGGATAAACCGCTAGTGATTACAATCATCATGTAGTCAATATACAAACTGGTGGTTAGACTTTCTTCTCAGGCCCTTTGATGGGATTAGTCCATAGTCCAAGGGAGGTCTCTCTCTTTTGGGTCAGCATCCCTCCCCTGTCCTCCCTTTCCTACAATATTCAGGGGTCTTTGAAGTGAGGAACCAGGGGATCGTTTTTCTCACTCTGTCTTCAGATTAACTGGATTGGAATGAGCTCCCCAGCCTAAAAGCGCAAGCGCTGTCTAAACAAATACTTTTGGTGAAAGAAACAGTGAAAATGTCTCCCCAAAGCCACTCATTCTGCAAGTGCAGAGTCACTCCGAAGGGCGTTGTCACTACAATTACATCAGATGGATAAAACAAAGCAACAAGGAGGAGGGGGGGATGTTGAATTTTTAGATTTCGTAGTCAAACCGTTCAATTTAGTGCAATTCACTGTAATTTACTCGAGAGTGCTAAAAACGAAATTATAGAACCACAGCTGGGATGAGGCCACAAATTACAGCGAGCAAAGACAACAAAAATAGAGCATGACAATAGTGAGTGGCCTGTCGCATACTCAGGAATGGACCGACGACGACACAAAGAGTGAAACATTCGCGATGCTGGTCATTGATTGCGTCTCAAAACTTTAGCTGCCCTCATTCAAATCTCAGCCCACTGTATCCGCCCCCCAACTACAGTCCGTACACTTGTTCTGTGCCATGCTCTTTGTTTCTCTCTCTCAGTCACACAAACACACACACACACACACACACGTCAACTGCATGTCTTTAGCGACTGTCAGGAGCTCAGCATATCACAGTTGCTATCTCTGCTGGTCTCATTACCCTCTTCCGCTCCCACCACTCTGCACCTCCTCAAAACACCAAGTGTTATGTAACATTTTTGAAAGCCACATTACGTTGTGAGAGAGTGTAATGTGTCTGTGCACAAACAAGTCGTGGCCCACCAAAATACCTGCCGTTGTCATTATGTCTTTGAGAGGCCTGCTGGAGAAACAACATCATATCATATTGCTTATTGGTGTGTAGAGTAACTCAAAGCCCAGTCTACTCAGCTCATTTCACAGCATCCATTTTTTTAATGCCATGAATCACTAATCACTGTTTCCTCCAGGTGGACAGCTGGGCCCTCGGGGTGCTGCTGTATACCCTGGTCTATGGAACCATGCCGTTTGATGGGGGAGACCACAAGAACCTCATTCGCCAGATTAGCAACGGCGAGTACAAAGAGCCCACTCAGTCCTCAGGTACTGCTGGAACTTTTGGCTCAGCATGCATTCCTTTTGGTTTGGGTCATGTTAGGAAACACACCTGATTTCAGTGCGCTGTGTAAAACAATAGCATAAACTGTAATTGGCAAATCTAATTCAGCTGTGCTGCAGATAGAAACCATGAGGACTCTTTTTCTCATAAATTCCAGAAGAATATGAAAGCCTTTAAGATGTTTGTTCATACGCTGTTCAGGGAAGCATGGATCAGAGAGCTCTGGATGTTCACATGTAGTAGATGCAAATTGCATTACACATTACACGCTTTTATCCAGACAGCATAAAGAAGCACATCTTAGCTGAGCAACAAGACATTATACTTCTTATTCATTTGCTGGTAACATGATTTTTGAATAAACTACAATGGAAACAAAATATAACTTTTTGTGCTAAAAAGAGCAACTTTTTGTGGAAAATATACTCTTGAAACATACTCAGTGATTCATGTTTTTGGTATAGGTGTAACAGTCTTTGAAATGAAAAAGCAACAGCATATGATTTTAGTATTTGTATGTCAAATAATGTGCAGTGTGAAGCACTCAACAGATCTCTGTTTACTCCCAGATGCCCGTGGACTGATCCGCTGGATGCTGATGGTGAATCCTGAGCGTCGAGCTACAGTGGAGGACATTGCCAATCACTGGTGGGTGAACTGGGGCTGGAAGAACAGCGTGTGTGACTGCGAGACCCAACGCGACCACGGAGGCTCGCCCATGCTGGCCCGTTTCATCGACTGGCAGAACCGCACTGAGCCACGTGGTTCTGGAGCCAAAGCTGCGGCCATGCCCCAGCTGCTGCGCCAGAGGCCCAAGAAGTCCAAGAAGGAGAATGTTGAGGCAGGACAGATGCACAGTGGAGGCGAGGACAAGCCAGGTCTAAAGAGACCCAAAGGCATCCTGAAGACCAGGGTTACCGAAGAGCACCAATCTGTAAGTCCTGAAGAGGTGGAGCTGGGTCAGGTAGCGCTGCCTCAGCAAGCTGAAGGTGGAGAGGAGGCTTCCAGCCCAGACCGAGAGGAAGAGGAGCCGACGCTGGGAGGAGTCTCCCCAGCCAAGATCGTGCCGTCTCTGCCCAAAAAAGGCATCTTGAAGAACAACCAACAACGGGAATCAGGGTACTACTCTTCCCCAGAGCGCAGTGAGTCCTCCGAGCTTTTAGGGGGCGCCAGCATGTCTCTGCTAGCCACCTCCCCACCCAAGAGAGCCATGGGGAGAAAGGGTATCTTGAAGCGAAATGGCAAGTACTCCACCTACAGCGGGCCTCCCTCATCAGCGACGGTGGCCGGAGTCCTCGGTGAGCCTCCTCCATCGACCGACTCTGGTTTGTCCCGCAGTCAGAGTCGTCCCTCCAGCATAGTGGGAGAGGACAGCTCCGTCCTGTCCCTGTCACCCAGCTCCCTCAGCGGGGCCGAGTGGCATCCTTCCACACCCCACCTCCGCCCAAACATCAGGGCTTGTGTCTCGGCTGAAAACCTGCTGCAGCTCGCCAACTTTAAAGGCTTCCAGGCAGCCCCGCCAATCCAGGGACACAAATTCAGCCGTGGCCCCAAAACGAAAGGCTCCCCAGGGGACAATGGCAGCTTCTCCTTGTTGGGGGACCTGGAGGACATGACTCAGGTGTACCAGCAAGCCCTGGACATCAGCAGCAACCTCAACTAATAGATGGGTGGAAGACAGAGAAGAAGAGGGATTTTAACACGAGTGTGTGTTTGTGTGTGCGTATGTGTACAGATGTGTATGCGTGACACTAACGACCAGTGCGTTACTGGGATCGGCCTTTCGTAGCTTGTGGCTTTTTCAAATGGGGTTGAAATCTCGATGGAAAAGATGCGTCGCTACACTCGCACACACGCACTCACACACACGCAGGCACACTTCTCTGGCTAGAAAACATTTAGTTAAGGTTTTCTGTGCAGGAGAGAGACAGAGCTGGCATGAGAGAATGCCACCCAGTCAGCTCTCTTGGCCCGCCCATAGACTTTGCTGTGTTCAACATGTTTACATATTCAGCAAGAAGGCAAGTTAGAATCACAAATGCAGCAATCAGAAACTGGTTGGCTCTGCTTAGACATCACCCATTTCCATGTATGAGTTTACAACAGCACCTTAGAACTCAAAACGGAGCATATGCTTTTGTGATCTTTACTTACTTTAAAAAAAAAGAAAGAAAGAGAAATGAAACAAACCAGGGTCTTGTTCCAAAAAAAAAAATAGCATTGCTGATTATTTATTAATATTTTGTAGCTTTAGTTTTAAGTGCAAAACTGGTGGGCGCTGGCTATTACTGGAAGAGTCCAAAGCTCCTTGTCTCCAACTGTGTTTGTGGAACTGACATATATAATTATGTTACTCGGTGACGAGAAACATCTATATACCCCAATATATAACTGTGTCTGTGTATGTACAACACGCAGGCAAGTATACCTTCATAAAAGCATATGTCCTATATATGTTTATGATACTAGGAAATATGTAGGAAGTGCCTTTTTTTGATTCATAATACAAATTATGTATGTCATTTCCTTAATGTGGAGGGAAAAGCCAGGCCAACCTGTCACCAGTTGTGCTTTTTTGTATCATGTTGTTTGTGAATGTAGAGAGACCCAGGGCCTTCATAGCACAGCTGACTAACTACTTACTCCTCCCCCCCTCCCCCCCATCAAAGCCCATTCCTTCTACACAGGTGAAATTACACACAGATATACCAGCATCTACAGGCCAAGAAAACAAAAAACCTTCCTCCGTGGTCTTTGTCAGTGTTAAAGTTTGTAGTTTGGTTTGTCTGCAGTTAAGGCCTGGTTGAACATACTTTTGTTGGCAGGACAAGAGGTCTGGAGGGGCTCACCTAGTGGGACATCTAGTGAAGGGAGATAGCACAGACAACATCTCACAGTCCTGGAATGTGTCTGGCTATAACCCTGGTTCTTTCACATTTTTTGGGCCTACCTGAAAAAAGTACGAGGTGCTTTTTCTTTCTTTTATTTATTTATATTTTGGGGGTTTTTTTTACTAAAGAAGATTAGGTGCTTTCCATTGCTGGGCTGGTTAATATTTTACCCCAAGCTCTTCAAAAGAGCTAAGTAAGGTGGGTTTTTTTTAGCTCGCTGATGACGCAGCAAATTCCTCAGAGGGAGGCAGGAGACGTGCTGGTGCTAGAGATCTGTACTGTACCCGAGTCAGCACAGGTGGGATCTGCGGTCAGTGCTCAGCCCCTCCAGCTGTGTATACTAGTTCATTATGTCAACCAAGCACAATTAGCCAGCTATTGTTTTCATTTGAGCGGTGAGAGAGAGAGGCGGTGCGTAGAGACTTATAGCTAGAGGGAGAAGAAAGGTGTGAGAAAGAGTGATGCATGGAGCAGTGGTGAGATTAGAGCAGTCTTTCCTGTAAAACGCAGAAAAGGTCGAGGTGTTAGAATTGTTTTAGTTTTTGAAGGCTTTGTAACGTAGACTAGTGAAAGTAAAGAAAGTGAATAGAAGGAGCAGAGGAAAAGTTTTTGTTTTATACCAAAGAAGTAATGAAACTGACAATGATTCAGGGGAATGGGTGAGTCAGGGGCTTGTCAGAGTCCTTGCATTTTTCTTAGGAATCTCCCCAACCCCCCCACGGTGTATGAAATCATCCCCACATTGGCTTGACCTGCTTTATTTTTCTTCTGTTATTCCCTAACAGAGATGCTGGAGGCTGTTGATATAGCTTGTTTTGAGGGTCATTGTGTGATCCCAGTCTTCTGTATGGCCTTAGAAATTGTGATACACTTTTCAACAGCAGCAAAAGAGATGTCAAAAATTGGAGAACGATGACTGACATCATCCGATACGTTAAATGATGTGAGTGGAAAAGCATGTCGTGGAGGACCCCAAGGGAAAAAGATCAAGTGTTGAATGTTTTCAGCGGTCGCATGTGCGAAGAAAAGGTCCTGGGTTCTGACTCAAATGAAAAGACCCACTGCGTATTATATTGCATTTTATTGCCTTTTGTATTGCATTATATTGTCAACTGGATTTACAGTGAGAAAATTATACTATGTTAGTATTTTGTTTTATTATGCTTCTGTTTTTGATTTTCCAAAATATAAGAAATGTTTTATTGCTTTATGTTATGGCAGAAAAAAATACTTCCTTCCTTGAAGTGTCACAATTTCTCTCCAAAGGAAAAAAAACACAACAAAAAGCAAACAAAAACAGCCAAATCTGGTGTGAAATTGGTGAACTCGCACACATTTCCCCCTGTTTTTGGAATACCCACAGGTGAAAGTGTTAGCTGGAAAAAAGAGCACATTTTTACTAATAGCTGACTGCAAGAAATTTTTATTTTCACATCTACCAAAGCAGGGGAGGCTAAAATATGCTGGAACAACACCAGGAGGGGGGAAAAAAAGGAAATAAATCAATGGAAAGAATCTGATGATAAAACATTAACTCTGCCAAACTGGAAATAACTGGTGCATATCTGTTAGTTAGCAGAAATTCTAATCATAGGAAAACTTGACTGGATATTGTTATGACAATAATAATAAATTAGTATTTTTATGTTATTTAAGCATTATTTTGGTTACAGCTTTTTACTATTGCGGGATATTGCCAAAATTTCTTTTATTGGTTTTATTTGTTTTTATCTGTGGGTGATCCTGGACTGCCAAGGTATTGTAAGTTGCGTGCCTTTGGTATCTTTCATGATTTTTTTTCTTCTTTTTTAAAATTTGATAATGAAAATTATTATCAATGTGTTTTTTTTATACTTGTATTTATTGATCAAGCCATTTAAAGTTGATGTCAAAGTACTTCATGTTCATGCTTTGGCCTGCTTAGGACTTTAGTGTTTTGTGTTCATGACGCACTGCACACAGAAATATTGTTGCTTCTTTAAAATAGAGTGGTGTCATCTCATTGTGAAGGAGGTGGTGAAGTATCTGAGGAGTGACAAATCAATAAAAGTTCCTGAAATCCTGTAGAATGTCTTAATCTGTCAGCTCGGGTCAACACGATGCCCCTGTAGTACTGTATCAACTCAAATAAATGGATCTTGAAGGTAATATGTGTTTTGTGTGCTTTTTGCTATGCATAGTCTTTTTATTCTAGAGCTTTGTTGGTTATTTAGTCAAGTCAAGTGGCTTCAGTCATTTAACATCAAGATTATACAGGATTCATGCAAGGAGAACCTTAAATACATCTAGGTATAGAAAAGATGGCTTTGCATTTAAAGTTAAACAGTAATCTATATAGTCGCCATCTATAGAGTTCCAAAAGCTCTCTTTAAAACATGAATGTCTTTAAATATACCTTTTTTTTGGCAAATTATTTCTGGTTTATCCAGTGGTTGAACTGGATATCCAGAGTCTTTTTTTCTTCTTTCAGTAGGACACATGTTAATTAAACTAGTGAGATGGCCTCATTTCTGTTTCCTTATTAAGAATGTGTGACCCAAAAACTTTCACCAGTGGATTTAAGATGTCAGCGGCGGTGTCCTGTTTTCATCATTAGCTTCAAGTTAATCAGTCTGAATTTGTGGGGTCAAATCATTGGGGTCAGAATGGCTAAAGTATACTTTTTTTTGGACACAGTTTGAAAGCTTTTGCCAAAGCTTCAAGAGCTTTTCAGAGTAGGTCGCCAGCCTGTCAAAAGTTGAGCTACCGATGAAAATGGGCCATTCAGGGCACTGAATTCAGCCAGTGTTTCCACACAGCCTTGGCTGCTGTAGTGAAATTAACTTGATGGTTGTTAAAGTGATACCCCACCCAAAATCTGTTTTTCAGGCATTTAAAAGACACTCCCAGTGGGCTTCAGCTGTGGTTGTAAAATAGAACTGTGGTTCTAGTCGGCCTGAATTTACAATGAATTCCAATACTAACCCTTTTTTTTTTTTTTTTTTTTACAGTGGAAACAGAAATCACATGACCAATAGGAAGATCACACACTAAATAACGCTGTCTGGCCCATTAGTGGTTGTAGACATTGATTTATCCGCAGTACAGCACCACATCCTGCTTTTACATTGTTCAGAAGAGCTCACTGTCTGGATGCTGTTTAGTTTCTCAAGAAATCAAGTTCTACAGCATCTCTAAAATGAGACAGATTCAAGTACTGGGATGCTGTTTCACTTTCTAGTCAGTACTGGTGAAGTAATCTTGAAGTAACTATTAAGTATTCTGCTTCAGTGAACAGTGTTTACTGTTTTGTGCTGCAGACTGAGTAGTGAAGAGTTAATTAGACTGACAGTTATAAACCAATTCATTACATATTTGTTCACTAATATAGGATCTCCTAGTTGGTCCTGTAGCAAATATTCTTTATCTACCATTCATACTACCTGGATCAGAAATTATTGGTTAGATACTGATGATCGTCTCATAACTAATAAGTGATCCCTGATATATTTCTCACTTGTACTATCTTTCTTCTTTAACCAAGGCACTTTTTTGTGTCTTTCACTCTATTAGAAGTGGTTCTCCTTTATTGTCATCAAGTCTCTCAGGTCTCTGGTTTCCATTATGATTTCCTATTGTAAAAGAGATAATACATCTAGTCTTGTATGACTGATTGATTTATGAAAGAACAAGGCAAGTGATAACTGTGGAAACTCAAGTGTGAGCTCAAGCTATGCGGCCTCTTGTTTTGCCAACTACACACTGATAGCTTTTGGTTCCAGCTGATTTGGGTTGACGCGCAGACAGAAACAGACATACTTGTGGTATGAAGGTTATCATTCGCTGTCCATCATGGTCACAACCAAAATGAGTTTCTTGCATGCCTTTCTTTCTTGACTTTCTCTGCTCTTTTGTCTCTTTATGCCACAAAACCCCGTAATAGATGAGACCATCTGCTTCACCTTTGACAAGCAAGCAGTAGAACAAATACAAAACCATGCGCTTGTGACAGTAAAATCTGTCACCTGATGTCCCAGATCTGTGAATCTTTAACAGTGAACGAGGACTCATCACATGTTGACGATCTTTGTACACCAATAAGGCAAATCGTGCCAAATGCAGGGCTGGCTTACCTGAAAATGTGGAGGAAATGCATATAAAACAAATCCTCTGGGTAACTGTGTGACAAAAGTATTGACATTACATGCTTAGCAAATAGTATTGTTCTTTTTTTAATCCAGCAGACTTGGAAAAAAAAAATCCAAAAAGTCTGTATATATATATATATAAAGATACAAGACACAGACATACTTGTCACATCTATAATACATACATCAAAGTCCAGTCCAAGTACTTGGGAAACTGATTCGCAGGATTTGAAACTGCTTTAACATGGCACAACTGAGGATTCTGCTGAAATTAGAGTGAGAATCTCCAGTGAGATAATGGGGCTAAACATGCACTATGCTCACCTTAAAATATTTAAGCTCACGCATAAACACTGAATCGAGTATATACACACCATAATACAGTTTCTGCTTGATAGTTTGTCACAGCAACAATTTTCCTGTTTCAGTAAAGAGTTGCGGCAATGCAAGAGAAAAGACAGACAGTTTTTAGGTGAATATCAATCTCACTTTGGGATGCTTGCTCAATAACCGAGGTAAGGAAATCCTAATTTTCAGCAGGAGAAACATTTCATCACTCATCCAAGTAAATCCGTGAATGTGTGTAGAAAAATTTCTCTTGCTGAAAAACAATACAGCCAAATGAACTGTCGATCAACAGAAACATCAGAATCAACTGTCTGGGTACCACTTATTTGTGAAAGAAAACAGCAATAGCAGTGAAGTGTAGATCCACTGAAAACAAAAGACATTGAAATATAAATTGTAAATATGTCACAGGAAGTGGAAAAAATAGCATAAGAAGTACTGGTGGTGCCACTTATAAAACATGCGAGGTACATAGAGGTAATTAGACTCACATTAAAAATAAACACCAATATCAATTTTTTAAAAATGACCAAAATCACATCTATATGTTCTATAAATCTTTATTTTCTTACAGGGTTATAATGTAATGTTATGCAAGCGTCCAATGGAACGTCTTTTGCATGTTTGTGGTCCATCTATAGGAGCACAGTGCACTACTGAATACCACTGATCTATGTTATTTGTATAAAACATATCCTAAGTGTGACTCACTAGACACACCAGGGACTTGGCATCAGTTGCACTAGTATTAGATGTATGGTGTCACCATTTTATACGCCAAGATTTCACTCATTTCTAGAAAACCTACACAAACAACACCAATGATATGAACTTACTATAGTTAGTTTCAGCATTATGAACACAGGCATGGGAGCAGGTAGAGGTGCAAAACCCAGTTTCCCAAATTGCACAAGAACACTAAAGTCTGAAATGCTCTGGATGCATTAATGTCACTATCTGTGTAGTAGCCTTTTGGAGGAGTGGGGGGTGGGGGGCAGTTGAAAATTGACAGAGTCACAATAACACCAGACAACATGGAGTACACAGTTCATGTCTGGCTCGGGAAAGAAACAAGAGTGTCTGTTTTTAGGACTTGGAGACTCAGTTGATTGTCAAGGGAGAACATTGCTGCTGCTGGGTTAATTTGATCCACATTTTGCAAGCGGGAGTGGGTGGGTAGTTGGAAACTCTGCAAGTCTTTCATGGCTTTGGTACTGATGAGTAGGACTTTACCCCTAGCTCGTGCTGGCCAGACACAAGCTGCAGGCACTGGAAGATGAAAAAAAATACATACATAGTTCTACATTACAGAGCAGGATCGAGGCTTCCTCACACACAGACACACACACACTGAAACTGTTGTTCTAAGTCTGAAATTTTCTTTGTAAGCAAGGCTGAGCTATAAAAGCAGGAGTTAAACCTTCTATTTATAAATCCCTCCTACATCAATACGCATTTTTTTCATGCTGACAGTAAACTTCAGAAAATTGCATCAATCATTGTCTAAGGTCATTGTTGCTTTTGGGAAGCTTTCTCAGAAGGAGGAAGCTAATTGTTTCTGGAACAACCACAGGCCCGTTTTTTGTTTTTTTGTTTGAATGCAAATTCCAGTTGTCTAAGTTAAAGACTATGCAATACAATAGGGAAAACAATTATGGCGTAATTATGCAACAATTTGAATCCTTACAGTAATTAAGTGTCAGTCATATACAAAAACCAATACAGACGGTGGAATGAAAAAAAAGAACGCAAACTTTTGAAACCTCAACAGCTGTGCCTCTGATATTGATATGATCTGAGTTTCAAAAGGATTTTTTTTTATGTCTTCAGAACAATTTCTGGTTCACTTTTCGACCCCTAAATAAAGTCCAGCTGCTAGGCCCTCTGAACTATTCCCTCCTTTACCCTCCTCCCTTCATCTCTAGAAGGTGAGCATGTTTGCCCCTGGAGGGCGGGGTGTGAGGGTTTATCGGTGGAGACCTACAACTACAACTACACTTTCCAAAGCACCCCACAGACCCCTCCCCAATCCCCCATCCATTTGGTCTTTTAGCAAGACCCCAACTTTTTGCCCAGCAGTTATGGACGTCTGCATAATGTTGAAGGATATAAGCTTTTTCTCTACCTCTAGCTTGAGGCGCTGATTTGAAAAGATTCCTCTTCCTCTGCAGCAACCTCGAGCTGCAACGGATAAAAGTCATCACACGCAGAGGGATTTGAGACATGAAAGCTGGAGAATTTACATGCACTCCAAATCATTTTACAACTCCTTTTGTCTCTGGAATAAATGGCTTCATATGAAGTTTGGGGGGGGGGATGGTGGCCAAAAAAAACCAAAACAGCAAAACACTTGGCAAGGTCGGTGCTGTATTGGCGCATCTGACTGCTGTTGCAGGCAGGATGTTCACCAGTGAAGGTCTAAGGTGGCTGTTGTAAACTGAGCTGCCCTTTCATTGCAGGAAAAATAAACGGAGGGCCAGGCCTGAAGAAAGTCCTGAGTACAGTGGAGCATGTGTTCCTTGGGTTAGCTGACACATTGTTTTAGAAATAACAGTCTGACAGGCCACTTTCCACGCTTTATCGCGACCTCATACACACAAATGCCTGAGCGCACTCGCATGTGCACATTTTTATAGGCAAAGGTTCATTCTTTCTCAGTCTTTCTGAAAGGTT